CAAAAGAACTCTGAAGTTTCATCTCACACCCAGCAAACTGACCAAGATAAGAAAATGGGGAAGGAAATAAGCATTTAATGAATGCCTACTATGTACTAGGTATTGTGGTAATAGTTTTACAAATATTTATCTCATTTAGTCCTCACAACAACCGTTAAGGGTAAGTGATAGTATGATCCTCATTTTATAGTTGAGGAAACTTAGAGGCAGACAGAGGTTAAGTGACACAGGGTTATACAGGTAGGCCGTGTCTGTGACTGTATTTGAACTTCAGTCTTCCTGACTCCAGGCAAGGTGCTGTATCCATTGTACCACCTAACTGCCATTGAAGAGGTTATGGAAAGACAGGCACGCTATTATATTGTTCTTGGTGTTGTCGAATTGGTCCAAACATTCTAGAAAGCAATTTTAAATTATACTAAGAAAGTAAATGAAATGCCCATACTTTCTGATCTAGAGATCCTGCTGTTACCTATAATACCCTGAGTATGTCAAAAATAGAAAAAGCCCCACATACACCAAAATTTTATAACAGCTCTTTTCGTAGTACCAAAGAACTGGGGCTGGGAGGGGGGGGAGAATAGTGCATGTCTATCAGATGGGAAATGGCTAAATAAATTGCTGCCCTCATGCGTCTTACCATCTAGTAGAGTGGTGAAATACATATACAAATAGGTATAATAAAAAAATAATACAAGCTCAGTATAGAGTTAGAGTATTATGTGTGTCTTGAGAAGGGAAAGATTAGACAAGGATTCTGAGAAGGCATCGTGAAGTAGGCAGCATTTGAGTTGACCTTTAAAGGACTAGAAGAATTTGGGTAGATGTGAAGGAGAATGGGATGGGGAAAACATTGAAAGGAATATTTGACATGTTTGAGGAACTGAAAGTAGTCCAGTTTGGCTAGAATGTGGAACATAAGGATAGTAGTAGTATGAGATCAGTCTGGAAAGGTAGAGGAGCATTAGATTATAAGGACTTTGCCACACTAAGGAATTTTAACATTATCTGACAGATAATCCTAACCCTGCTGCTATTTATTTTCTCTGAGACATTGACCCTCTCTAGGCTTCTCATCTGTAAAATAAGGGGCTTGGATCAAATTTAGGGTCGTTTCCATCTCTTAAATCTTATGATCTTAAAGTGGAGAGCCATTGAAGAGTTTTGAGCAGGAGTGATATGACCAGATTTGTGCACAATAATAGCTGATACAGTATATAGAGCTTTATGCTTTATAGAGGCCTTTACATACATTGCTTCATGCAGCGTTTTATTATCCTGTTTTATAAGGAAGATTAATCTGACAGTCATGTGAAGAAGCAATTAGAGGGCAGAGATAGGAAGATTGGAAAGTTGGTTTATATTGTTAATATATAGTCTTCATTTCATAGGTGCACAAAAGTGTTTTATAAAAACCGTAGAGAAATCCAAGAAAGTATATGTGGGTATCCATCAAAAAAGCATTATCATATATCCTTGGTTGCTGTTTTCATAAATTTGAACTATATTTTTCCTTATCCTTGTTTAGTATAATTTCCATGGTTGGCAAGTCTTGAATATGGGGAGTCTTAAATCCCTGTTTACATTCAGTTTTTATTCTGTTTTCTGAAATGTGTGAGATTATTGCATACAAGCAACTCAGTGAAGTAACTGGATTTTTCCAAGAGGACTACTTCTATCAATATAGTCTTTAAACAGCTTTTCCACTGAGCAAAAGTAATTATCGAGGACCAGTAATAATAATAACCCAAACATATATAGCAGTTTAACTACTGTCCTCCACCATTTGGTTGACTCATGATGTGGAGTAATCCAGGGATCTAAAAGGACTGTCCTAGCAAAACAAACAGGTCCTATTCTATTAAGTTTTGGAATAGCTACAGTCTCTATTGATAGAGGGAATATCCAAACTGACAAATTTACAGACCTTTTCATTATTGAAGTAAAATAAGTTCAATTTCTATCAGATGTTTATAGTATTAACTCTGCTTTCTAAATTGAGTGAGTTCTTTGAAAATCACCATGTAATTGCTTTGTAATGATATTTTAAATCATTTTTAAGTCTTTAATAAGAATTGTCAGTCACTTAATGTAAAGAAGTTATAGTTTCTTTTCAGTAATGAATAATGTAGCAACTTTTGGGAACACTGGAAACTTGGGCTATGTAGGTTTAGAAATCTTATTGGCACACAGGTAGTGAATAATATAGCTTTGATTTGGACCCAGATTGGGGATGAACTGCAAAGATTTTACCTGGCACTCCAGGGGGAAAAATAAATGCATAACTGCTTTAAAGTTTAATCCTCATTATTAACATTTTCTCATTCGCTTTCTTAAGTATAGACAATCAAATAATGATAAGATACAACAAACTTTGAGGTGTAGATGTAAAGCAGTTCTTAGAGGAATGATCACTTATATTCACAAAAGAGAAAGAAAGGATTAGTGAATTGACCATGCAATTAAAACAAAACAAAACAGACAACTAGAAAACTAATAAACTGTCCCAGAACAAACAACAAAGAGATTTTGAAAACTGGTAAATAAAGAGAAACTAGATAAAGAAACAAAATTGAAAATAAAAAACAGCATTTTCTAAGTGCAGTTAGAAAGCAAGACTGTGAATTTATGCATTTCTGGGCACTCATAGAGGATAAAAGGGATTAAAAAATCATGATTCCTGGTAGATAAGGCCTAATTTGTAAGACATGAGATGCCAAATGAATTTGGCACAAGAATAGGCGTGGCCTTCTCGTTGTATTGGGGCAATTAAATGTCACAGTGGATAGACATATATGTGTATGTATATGTGTGCATGTATGCAGCTAAGTAGTGCAGTGAATAGAGTGCCTGGCCTGGCGTCAGAAAGACTCATCTTTGTGAGTTCAAATTGGCCTCAGACATTTACTAGCTGTGTGACCCTGGGCAAGTCACTTAACTTTGCTTCAGTTTCCTCTCTATAAAATGAGCTGGAGGAGGAAATGGCAAATCACTCCAGTATCTTTGCCAAGAAAACCCCCAATGGGTTCATGAAGAGTTGAAAAATGACTTAGAAAATCTCATTGTATCATGTGCCCTTTTAGTTTTGATTAATCTGGCTCATAATAAGCTAGCAGTTATAGAACACTTAAAATTTGCAAAGTACTTTGTATAAAGTGTACACATAGGTGGATATGTGTATGTGTATATCTGTATATATGTCAAATAAGAGTTGAATAGTTCATCCTTCTTACTAACATCCATTATCATTATATCAACATTCTGAGCAGCAGTGGCCCCATAGTTTTTTGTTTGTTTGCTTTTAAGGGCAACTAATGTATGTTTTACATAGTCAACATATTTCCTCCAAATAGTCTAAGTTAATGAGCTCTTATAGTAGCAATGATTTCTTAGTAATGTATACTGACTATATATGTGGCAAAGGTCTTAATGCAAGGAAAATCATAGGGGAAAGCAATTCAGAGTTTATTCCCAAGATAAACATTCAAAGTAAGATACTCCCATAATTCCTGTCACCTTAAGGCATATAGATACTTGTGTTCAAATGAAATATTTCATATCTATGTAGCATTTTTTAGTTTATAAAAACACTTCTTTACAACTCTGTGAGATAGGTAGTGTAAATATTTCCATTTTACTGATGAAGAAACTGAAGCTCAGAGGGTTTTTGATTTGGCCACCAGGACATAGCTAGTGAGTATTGGAGTCAAGTCTCAAAGCCATGTCTTAGAACTGGACCTCCAATGCTTTTTCCATTACATCACAATGCATTTATTAAACACAACGTTTTTATTTCTTCTAACCTAGGAAAATAAAATTTTTTGACCAAACAAGGGATAGAGAGCATTAAAGAAAAAAATAAACAATTTCAGCTACATAAAATTTTGAAAACCTTTTGCACAGGCAAGATCAGTGCAGCTAAGATAAGAAAAGAAACTGTCAGATGGAGAAAAAAAAATCTTTGAATCATGTATCTCTTCTTAATGTGACTAATATCCAAGATACACAATGGGAATTACCACCTTGTTATGTGACTAAAAGGATATGAACAGTTTTCAGAAGAATTTTAAACCATCATCAGTATGAAACATTTCTCCAATCACAGCAAAGGAAATGGAAATGACTGAAATTTCGTCTTATGTCCAGCAAACTGACAAAAATGACCCCCCAAAATAGTTAATTTTGGAGGGAATGTGCATATTGGAATGTGTACACCGGCCCTCCAAGTGGGCCTGTGCAACCTTCTGGAAAAACACTTTGGAGTTACACAAGAAGAACCACTAAACTTCATTCACTTTGATGTCCCACTAGTAAGCATGTACTGCATGGAGGTTAGAGACAAAGAAAGGCTCCATATATATCAAAATATTCATAGCTATGTTTTGTGGTATCAAAAAACTGGGAATGGTAGATTCCCATGGATTGGAGATTGGCTGAACTAATTTGGCATATGAAATGGAATAATGGGAATATTATTGTAAAAAATTACAAATATACGATATTCAGAGAACCATGTGGAGATTAGCATGAACTTATGCAGTTGAGTAACCAGTAAAACAATATATGTAATGATTGCAATAATGTAGATGAACACTAAAAGCCAAACTGAGTAACTGTAATGAGCAATCATGGCCTCAGAAAAGAGATGAAGAAACACCTTCCTCTCAGTGTGAAAAGGGGGGCAGAAGAAAAGCAGGGGACAGCTGTGGATGCAGAATATTGCATGTCCTGTCAGATATGATTACTTTGATTTGCTTAATCATTTTTGTTTGTTACAATGGCCTGAAGGTGGGTGGGGTATATTCAGAAGTGACTTATGTAAAAAAATGTGTATTAATAAAACTAATTCAGAAGAAAAAGAAATTGATTTGAAAAATGATAAGTGATGCATATTTTATTTAACAGTTAAATTGATTTTTCATAAGTTACCATTAGTAGAATCTTGGCAGATGTCACTATTATTGAAAAAATGTGCTTTTTTGTTTTTTTTTTCTCTTCAGTGGGCATTTGGAGTAACACTATGGGAACTAATGACTCTGGGCCAGACCCCTTATGTGGATATTGACCCATTTGAGATGGCTGCTTATCTAAAAGATGGCTACCGAATAGCTCAACCAATCAACTGCCCTGATGAATTGTAAGTTTCAGCATTTTGGGAGAAATAAAAGTTCAATCTTATTTCATTGACTAATAAATATTTCTTATGAAATAGAAAATCCTGATCAGAATTTTTCTATTTAGTGAGAAAACTTCTGTCATGTAAATTATTTTTTCATAGTGGATTAGAGATTTTAAGAAACCGTGCCTTTCAGATGACTGGGTTAAAAGCTAGAACAAATCCATTTATTTCTTAATGTACCTGATTTTAGCCTAAGAGAATAATTTACACAGTGTATCTGACTGAATAGATGTATATTATTCTGTTTATAGTAATAGCTATACATTATTTGAAGGACATTCTAAAGATTTCCATCAAAAGCAATTACATATTAAGTATAGATAGATAAACATCTATCTATATATATATCTATATATCTATATATAATTTATTTCATACTTAATGGATTTTTAAAAATTCTTGTATATCTGAACTCACTGTGTCCCAGTCACATGAATATAATATGGTATATAAGCTCCTTGAGAATAAGGATTGTTTCACTCTTCATTTGTATCTCTAGCATAATGCCTGGCTCATTGTTGGCATTTAGTAAATACTTGATTGATTAATTGAATGGTATGAAGGTTTTAAGCACATGAGTTAATAGAGTTGTTCAATCGTTAGCATTTTAATCTCGTGAACAAAATTAACCATAAATTTGGGGAACATAATGCCTATGACATTGTTGTCTCACAAGGGACCCAACTTAAATAGTAATTTGTAATCTCAGCTCACCCTTTTAAAAAATGTCTTCACATTTAAGAGGGACAGCCTAGGTAGTACAGTTGATGGAGTGTGCCAGGCCTGGAGTCAAGAAGACCTGAGTTCAAATTTGGCCTTAGATACTAGTTATGTGGCCCTGGGCAAGTCACTTCACCCTGTTTACTCTCAATTTCCTCATCTGTAAAATGAGCTGGAGAAGGAAATGGCAAACCACTCCAATATTTCTAGTAGTTTCTTTTAGCCCACTTTCTGTGATCTTGGGTTTAAATCCTGACTCCTACAGTTGTGAGCCAAGACTCAGTTTCTTCATTTTTATTGATGGATTAGCCTAGATAACATCCAGGGATCCTCCCAGCTCTAAATCCTGTGATTCTGTTCTGCTAACTTGCCTCAGTGGACTAATGCAAATCAGAATAAGCATGATGTAAATTAAAAGGTTACTACGAGGAATTTAAATTCTTATTAATTGGATAACTAATAAAGAACCCAAAGAATAGATAATAAAAAATATCTTCCCTCAAAGTTAAGAAACTACTTTGAAAGAATGTCATTGTGAATGTGTTGTCTGATGCATTCACTATGTTGAATATTTTTGCTTGATAAGTTTTTCTGGGTCACAAGGAGGAGGGGAGAGTTCAACCTAGTAGTAATATGAAGACAGAATGCATAATTAAAATGTATCTTTTTAAAAATAATCATGAGTGTTTTTTAAAAAATCAGTTTAGTACATATAACCATTGATATGCCAAACACTTCATTTTATCTGTTGGTTGAATTTCCTGCCCTACTAGTTCTTTTAAATTAGTAAAATTGACTCATTTAAAATTTTTCTTCCTCTCACTGCCCATACTCATTTTTTTGATGCTCCTAAGGTGTCCCCCCCTTTTTAAAATAATTAATTATTTTTAATTTTCAACATTCACTTCCATAAAATTTTGAGTTTTAAATTTTCTCCCCTTCTCTCTCCTCCCCCCTCCCCAAGACAGCATGCAATCTGATATAGGCTCTACTTATAAATTCATATTAAGTATATTTTCCCATTAGTCATGTTGTAAAGAAGTATTAGAACTGATGGGAGGAGCCACAAGAATGAAGCAATAAAAACAACAAGAGAGAAGGAGAGTAAATAGTATGCTTCCATCTACATTCAGACTCCATAGTTCATTCTTTGGATGGGGATAGTATTTTCCATCCTGAGTCTTTCGGAGTTGTCTTAGATCCTTGGATTGCTGAGAAGGGCTAAGTCTATCAAAGTCAGTCATCGCACATTGTGGCTGTTACTGTGTACAACATTCTCGTAGTTCTGCTCATTTCACTCAGCATCAGTTCATATAAGTGTTTCCAGGTTTTTCTGAGGTCTGCCTGCTCATCAATTCTTATAGCACAATAATATTCCATTACATTCATGTACTACAACCATTCCCCAATTGATGGTCATCCTCTCAGTTTCCAATTTTTTGCCACCACAGAACTGCTATAAATATTTTTGTACCTGTGGGTCACTTTCCCGTTTTTGTGACCTCTTTGGGGTACAGACCTAGAAGTAGTATTGATGGGTCAAAGGGTATGCACAGGTTTTTTTTTTTTTGGTTTTTTTGTTGTTTTAGGCAATGGGGTTAAGTGACTTGCCCAGGGTCACACAGCTAGTAAGTGTTATGTGTCTGAGGCCGGATTTGAACTCAGGTCGTCCTGAATCCAGAGCCAGTGCTCTATCCACTGCATCACCTCGCTGCCCCTGGTATGCACATTTTTATAGCCCTTTGGGCATAGTTCCAAAGTGCTCTCCAGAATGGTTGGATCAGTTCACAATGCCACTAACAACCCATTAGTCTCCCAATTTTCCCACATCTTCTCCAACATCATTTTCCCATTTTGTCATGTTAGCCAATCTGATAGGTGTGATGTGGTACCTCAAAGTTATTTTGATTTGCATTTCTCTAATCAATAGCGATTTAGAGTATTTTTTCACATGACTATAGATAGCTTTAATTTCTTCCTCTGAAAACTGCCTGTTCATATCCTTTGACCATTTATCAATTGCAGAATGACTTGTATTCATATAAATTTGACTCAGTTCTCTATATATTTTAGAAACAAGGCCTTTGTCAGAGACACTGGTTGTAAAAGTTCTTTCCCAGTTTTCTGCTTCCCTCCTAATCTTGGTTGCATTGGCTTTGTTTGTGCAAAAACTTTTCAATTTAATGTAATCAAAATTATCTATTTTGTATTTCATAATGTTCTCTATCTCTTGTTTGGTCATAAATTTTTCCCTTCTCCATAGATCTGATAGGTAAACTATTCTCAGTCTTTAAATCATGTGCCTATTTTGACTCTGCCTTGGTATAGGGTGTAAGATATTGGTCTGTCATACTATCCTTCAGTTTTCCCAGCAGTTTTTGTTAAATAGTGATTTCTTATCCCAGAAGCTGGAGTCTTTGGATTTATCAAATAGTAGATCACTATAGTCATTAATTGTTGTGTCTTACATACCTAACCTATTCCACTGATCCACCCACTCTATTTCTTAGCCAGTAACAAATAGTTTTGATGATTGCTGCTTTATAATATAATTTAAGGTCTGGTACAGCTAGGCCACCTTCCCTTGCGTTTCTTTTCATTAGTTCCTTTCATATTCTGGACCTTTTGTTCTTCCTGATGAATTTTATTATTGTTTTTTCTAGCTGTACATACTCATTTTTTGATAGAGCTAATAATTAGTAGTGAAATAATCAAAAAGAGCAAAAAAAAGTTTTTTAAGAGCAGTTAGTTAACTTAGAGATAATGAACAGCTAAATTGTCAGCTAACCTCTAGTATATTTTTAAAAATTAATTGATTGTTGCCTTTTTATTAAGAACAAGATTCATTCCTATTTTACTTTGTTTTTTTCCAATAATAATTTTTTTGCCAATAATTTTTGCCAATAATTATTTTTTTCCCCTCTTTGTCCCCCTTACAGATTTGCTGTGATGGCCTGTTGCTGGGCACTAGACCCTGAGGAAAGACCCAAATTCCAGCAACTTGTGCAGTGTCTCACTGAATTTCATGCAGCTCTTGGAGCCTATGTTTGAATCCTCTGGCATAAATTCCACAATGGAGCACCAATGATTCACTTTGGACTCAGTTATAAACACTACGTGTATAAGCAACGCCAATGGAAGAAGATACTTCTTCTAAAACACTGTGCCTTAGAATGCTTTAGTAGCGTGAAGGTTTTTTAAACAGACATCTTGATAATGTTGAGTATTTTCTAGATATCACTTTTTACTAAGTTGAACTGAGAGAATTTTTCCAAAAATTTTTTATAAAAATAGAACTGCAATGGACTTGAGGTGTAGGATGGATGGATGAACATTCTTTAAAAAAGAAAAAAAAACACCTAAAACCCATGTTTTTAAAAAAATTTAAACTCAAATGTTTGGAATAGCTATTTTCATATTAATTGTTTTTATTTTGGCTTCATCAAAATAATAGTAAATGATTCAATATGATTTTTAAATTGTATTTCCATCAATAATTTTGACAACACTTCTTCAAGATGAAATATTTCTGTTCAGAAAAAAAGGAGTAATTTAAAAGTAATGCTTTCTTGTTTACCTTGCTTATACATGATAAAGTAAAATTGAAGATAGGTAAACAGAAAAAGTTTGAACTGAATTTCTTTAAAATATTTTAATGCCTTCAGAGAGGCACAGGAGAAGCCCTTGCATGGAAAATTTTCATCCTGAATTTCTGTGTGGCAAATCTTTCTATTGAAAGGTGTCTTTCCTTTTTTTTTTTTAAATTTCAATTTTTTTTTCCAGAGGCAGGAGCTAAGGTAATTATTGCTTGAAATGGGCTTAAATCAGCTTTGTAGATGGCCATGTGCCTGGGACCAGTAATTATTTCTGTCAGGCCAGTAGTAAACAACGATTTTATTTATTTTGCTGTCTGGATACTACAGATAGTAAGGTCCTTAAAAGCACAATCACATCTCCACATTTGGTAAACTCTCCTAGGAATGGCACCTGGTATAGTGCTGTGCACAGAGTTGGTGCTCAGAGAATTGTGGGCAACATTGTAGGCTGGTAAATTTCATGTTCATCTTCAAGGCTGGGTTAAGTATATAATTTTGTTTCTCAAAACACTTGAAAAATTAAAGAATTGTTTTATAGTCTAATATTATTGAAACTCTAAACATGGTAAATGTGGTGTGCATTTCCCCATCTTTTATTACTGTTTGACCCCCAATTTTAGAGGTATTTGGACATGAAAAAGCTAGAAGAATACTTTACTGTGGTTACTCCTTCCACCAATGCAGATTTCAACCCTTCCATAAATTAGTAGATAATTTCAAAAGTTGCTGTGACCAAAGTTTAGAAATACATTTGTTTTATTCTATATGAATGTTAAATCTAGAACACAAAGCCTCAATAAATCTTTCAACACTACTAAATCACCTACTTCTAAACAAAAATTATTCATACCCTTTACCAGTTTACTTATTGTTATGAGCTGATACACATCTAGACATTTCCTAGCTAAATAATTAAGGGATGTGTACACATATGTGGTCATTTGATTGGCCTAAGCACATAATGAATGTGCTGTCTGTGCAGTCATTAATTTCATTGTCAGTTTTGTCTTTTAAAAAACAACTACGTCATACACAAACTGGTGTTTTTATTACCCCACCCCACTTCAGTTATCAGTTTCTAAACCTTTCCTTATATGTAGTTGAAGGCAGCTGTCATATTGATCTATGTATGCTAAATAGGGAGAGGTAGAGACAGCCAGATGATTTGTATGCCATGGCTTGGCCATTCTTAAAGAGATATATGCTTTAAAAAAGTGTCTATGGTTGTAGACTATATCCCTAACCTGGTCCAATCATATGGCAAATGCTTACTCAGTATGACTAAGGGAGTCAGGTATAAGATTGTGGAAAGATTATTCCCAGCCCCAGTACCACATCTGGGTCAGCAGCTTAATAACATATCTTATTGATAGTGATTCCATTAAGATCATCTTTGTATACAAAGCACATTTGTGATTAAAGCATGCAAGCCCCTGAATGGTTAATTTTGTTCATCTCTGTTCTTAAACAATTGATAAATTATGCTCCTATTTTAATTAAAATTTTTGGACTTGGCCACACCATGTTTTCTTTGTAGGCATGGTCTGGCCTAAGTCTAGTATCCCATTCAGGATATGATTAAATCATTAATAAGAAACAATGCATTCAGCAGCCCTGTGAAGGCAAAATAGTCCAGAAGTGTTCTGCAAGCTACTAGATCAGATTATCCTTAATTTTTGATTTTAAGGAATTTTATTTTAAATCACAAGCTAAATGCTATTATAATACAATACGTGAGACAACTGTTTTCCATTATGTGGCTAGAAATCATATTTTCAGTTTATAGGAGCTTCAGAGAAAACAATTGACACATAGCTTATTCAACAAATAAATTTAACAAATATTAAATGTCTTCTCCCTGCAAAGCATTATGTCCACTATGGGAGATAACTATATAAAAAATATACCACATTCCCTTGAAGTAGGGGGATAGGATACTTAGATAAAATACAGCAAATTTCTAGCCTTCATTACAGTGTAATTGGGAGAATGAGATTTGTTTAAGGCAGACTATGAAAAATGTAAGGGAGAGGTCCAACAAGCATTATAGGAAGTTTGAGGGACAAAGCACCTCCTCCCAGGGACATCAGGAAAGGTTTTGTGTAGAAGGCAGCAGCTGAGGTGGCTCTTGAAGCCACAGAGGGATTTCATCTGTTAGAGGTTGGGAGGTGGGGATAACAGTTCTATCGTGAGTCAACTAATGAAATGTTCTGAAGCAGTAGGGACATGACCTGTGCATACATAACTTTACTCAACCTTTTGTCTTCGATTCTGGTGTCTCTGTATTTTGTTTTAATAGCTAACATTCATAGACTTAACTCATTTGAAATTTATCACAACCTTGAGGTGGGTGTTATTATTATCCCTGTTTTACAGATAGAAAAGTTGAGGTACAGACAAGTTGCATGACTTCCCCAGGGTCACTGAGTTCATAAGTATCTCAGACAAGATTCAGACTGCTCAGGTCTTCCTCACTCCAGGTGTCTAGGCTCTATCCTCTATACCACCTTGCTGCCTTGGGAGTTTATCTTGTTTTTTTTGGCAGAGCTCTTTTGTTTGAGGTAGAGAGAAAAGCTAAGAAGTATCTGCTTCTTTTCTTCCTCTCTGGGAGTTCTTTTGTTGACCATGACTTAGATGGTCATGGATGAGCACTAGACTATATATCACATGAACCAACTAGCATTTGTTAAGTACTTACTGTGTGCCAGGTACGAGGTGCTGAGGTTACAAAGAGAAAAAAATAAAGCAGTCCCTACCCGCAGGAAGCTCTGTTGGAGAAAACAGTCACAAAATGGATATGAAGTCAAAACCAGATAATTGCTCATGGGCAAAGAAGTGACCTGTTCAGGTCCACCTGTGCTTTAAGAATATTCCCTCCAGTAGCCACGTGAAGGGTGGATCAAAGACAGGAGAGAGTTAGGGCAGGCAGACGCTGAGGAAACATCAGTCTAAGCAAGAAGGGATAAGGATTTGAATTGGGTCTTGACCATGTTAGTGGGAGAGGAAAAGGGAATAATAGGAAACACACACACAGGCACACAGAGAGAGAAAAGGAAAATGAGAAAGACTGAGGGAGAGAGTATTGGTGAACTTTGGTGTCTGAAACGATGGCGGTGCCCTGAATAGAAATGGGAATATTTACTTTATAGAACTCTATATATGACCATAGCAACCAAAAAGCATAATTACATTGGGCTGTCATCCAGAATACAGAATTCTTATAGATAATCCTTCATCATGTTGATACTCATCAAAATGGACTTTTTATCTGTATTCCAAGGGCAATATGGTTATTGCCATATTGAATATTACCATATTCTTTTATTCTATTTATTCTATCTAGGGAATACATTTTCTCTGTAGACCTGTAAGGATGCTCCTTTTTATTACCGTATTACGGATGCACCTAGTATAAAGCTATTCTGTTTGAAATCATCTTGATTACAAAGCTTACAGTAGTTGTAGTTAAATGCATAGGAATAAGGGAGTATGTGTAAATCTTTACTAAAATGGACACCTGTCTTACACTGTTTTGTCTAAACTGAACAAAATAGGATTTGGCATGTAGATCACATCCCCATATCAGGTTAACTTTGTAAATTATTCTCTTTAGTTTAAAAGGTCAGAAACGATGACAAAAAAGGTCACTGTTACCTCTATATTTAGACTTCTGTGGGGGGAAAATTGAAACAAAGCAACTGTTTGTCAACATACTTCTTGTGGGAAGTACTTTTTTTTCTCATTGAGGAAGGGCCACAATGCCAGGGCAGTGTTGGGTGAACCATTGTCTTAGAGTCAGAAGACCAGGATCAGAATTCTGGCTGCAACACTTACTAAGTCACAGTGTCTCTGAGGCTTAGTTCGGTAATCAATAAAACTGCATTACCTACCTCATGGGAAAGTGCTTTATGCCCTCTTAAGCATATGTCAATGTGAATGGTAGTTATTATAAAGCTTCTAGAAGGGCCTAGGCCATCTTTAGCCACTATTCTGTCTTAAATGTAGAAAGACTGGGCTCTGGACCACAGAAGAATAATGTTCCAAGGATTTATGGGATGTTTTTCTCTCCTAGATATGAGAACGTTGTCTTTAAAAAATAGAAGCAGGTTCATTGTGCATGAGAAGATACTCATCATTCTTTGGTGTATTGTACAGCCTGATGATTTTGATCATAGCTTACATTTGATGAGACAGTCTGATACAGAATGGAAATCGTAGGTAATTACTAAATGTTACACTACACTCTGTCAATAGTATTTCCTGGAAGTTTAGATATGCCACTGTGATGTTTGCCATCATTTTATAAGTGAGGATTTCCTGGCCATTATTCATCATGTTATTTACTTTCTCTTGCCTTAATGGTCCAAACAATTAGGCCTCAGTAACCGAGAGAGAGATAAATAAGCATGCTTTTCCACTTGCTTTTGTCTTTGGAAAAATATAAACATAACTATTACATGTATTTAAAGGAAATTATATAGAGTATATGATTTAGAGCAAAATTTTAGCAACTACAAATACCTAGGTAAAGGTCATAGATCTTAAACATGGAAGGAGCCTCAAAAGATGATGATAACAGATCAAGTGTATAGCATTCACAGCATGCTAAGAGTTGGAAGGGACCTCAGAAACCATCATCCAACTTAAAAAAAGACAAGATTTCCATGTTCATCCAGCCTTTGCTTGAAGGCCTCCCTAATTCACTACCACCCAACGTACCTTGTTCCATTTTTTAGATAGCTGTAATACAAAGCAAAACATACCTTAACTCCTCTTTCCCATGACAGCTTTTCAAATCCTTGAGAATGGAAACTATTCATACGGTTTTTTTTGTACAAGCTAAACAGCCTCATCTCCTTCTTTGGACCCTCATGGTATGCATTTTCTTGAGACTTTCAACCATCCTCATTGCCCGCCTCTAGACACTTCCTAAAATGTAACACTCAAAATTGAACAGAGTGCTCCAGATGCAATCTGACCAGAGTATATAGCCAGACTTATTACTTTCCCAATCCTGAACACTAAACCTCTGTTAATACAGCCTAATATTGCGTTAGCTTTTTTTTTTCTATTAGCATGACACATTTCATGTTAAGCTTGAAGTCCACTAAAATCCTAGATCTTTTTCATAGGAATTATTTTTCAGACATGTATCCCCTATCTAGTACAGTTGTATTTTTAACCCAAGTATAAAGCTAAATAGTTTAATGTCCCTATTAAATTTCATTTTACTAGATTATTCTAGCTTATTAAGACCTTTTTTTTTTTTTATTCTGGTTATAGCTTAGCTGTCCTTAATTAATGCCATATGTAAATTTGACAGACATGCCATGTATACCTTGATCCCAATTATTTGGTTTAAAAAAAATAAAGTTATAGCAACAAAGTTGTTCACCAGTAGAGATATCTCCAATTTGACATCAAGTTGACAGATAATGACTGTATCAGTAGGTCTTACTCAACCTGTTTCTTTTTTTAAAAATTTTATTAATTTATTTTGATTTATCAACAATCACTTCCATATGCTTTTGAGTTGAAAATTTTTCTCCCCTTCCTCCCCCCCACCCTCCTCAAGATGGTGCACAATCTGATATAGGCTTTACATCTACATACCCATTAAGCATATTTTCGCACTAGTGAAGTTGTAAGTAAAAATTAAAACCAATAGGAGAAACCATCAGAAAGATGAAACAAAACTCAACAGAAGGTAAAAATAAGTGATAGCGATTCGACTTCCATAGTTCTTTCTTTGGATATGGACAGCATTTTCCATCCCGAGGCCTCTGGAGATGTCTTAGATCCTCGTAATGCTGAGAAGGGTT